AAACTATAATTTGAACAAATAATTACACAAATTATTAAGATACATTAGTATAATATTGGAAAAAGGAAATTATTGGTTAGTTTATATTAGAAATTATAAGATAAATTAGTATAATTCTGTAAGTAAACCATTTAAAAAGAAAATAATTTATTTAATAAAAAATTAAATAAATTTGAATAAACTTTCAAAATTACACAAGTACAATAAATTTTCCAAAATTTTCATAAAATTATATTTTTGAATATTAAACACAATTTAGTATACTTTTAGAAATTTACCATGTGGTTGATACTCAATATATCATTTTGATCATTTCTATCATCAAATTGAATATTGGGTTGACGAGGACAATGTTTTCAAAACTAGATCAAACCAGATGGTTAGATCAAAAAATTGGGAACCGAACACCGTTTTTCCTCAAAACCTCTTTTTGTCCAAAAACCGTTTATTTGGTTAGCGAACCGCTGACTTGGGCGGTCGAATCGTTAACCCAGACAACAGTTTTTGGCCTTTTTTGTTTTTCTAATTTTTTTTGTCAGAGCGGGTCATCCATTTGACAAACAGACTATTCGACCCCAAAACTGTTCCCTATCCGATCCAATTTTAAAAACCTTGGACAGGAAGTGGGTGTCTTGCCTTGAGTGTGCGGCATGGCCTAGCCCAAGGCCCGATCCATGGACCAACCCGACCCATGGCATGGCACGGGCCCGTGCCGAACCAACCCCCCAAATTATCCTAGAGGAGGGAGGCACGGCCCGGGATGCCTCGTGGCCCAGCACAGCACGACTCACACTTTGTACAGGCCACATGCGGGTCATGTTGTATCGACCCAACACGACCCAATTTACACCTCTACTTGAACCCGCCCAATATTGGGGACAGGGCAGGGAAATTCAAGGATTCTCCATCCTTAATGAGTGGGGTGCCTTGCCCCTGAACTCGCTCGACATTAAGAAGTGGTTACCTCCTTGAACCCGCATGACACTGGGGACGGGGCGGGGATGGATGCCCTGCCTTGAATCCACCCCATTGTTATTCCTATATAATTGTTAATTATTAGTAGAATTAATAAAAATGTTACTTTTATAATTATTTTTATTTATTTTAAAAGTAATCAGAATTTCATTTAAAAACAATAAAAAGAATAAAAATTATTAATAAAACTAAATTTATTAAAAAAATATTTATTCATATTTTATTAGTAATTATTATTATTTATAAATCAACATTAAATAAAAAATAAAATTATTAAATTTTTCAGATTTTTCCCGTGCATCGCACGGGTCCCTGCTAGTTTGCTTTTAAATTCTCCCGAAAAATGTGATTTTCGTTTGCTGAGTGCAAATTGCGACGCAGACATAATTATTATTGCAATAAAGGAAACAAAAAAAAAAAAAAAAAAAGAAAAAAGAACATAAAAAAGGAAGCCGAGTCGGATCAAGCAAGCCAAGCCGAGCTTGCTGCTGTAATTGGTTACTTTTTGTGTTTTTCTTTATTCGAACCAAGAGAGTGCAGAAATGGTGGGAGCTTCTTCCAAGTCGACTGTTACTTTTATTTATTTATTTATTTAATCAGATTTCATCTTGAATTTCTCGATTTAAAAAGTAGAAGCTTTTGCCGCGTCCGTCATGAAAATGGTTTTCCATCTTTCATTCGATTCTCCTCTTGATGAACAAATCAAAGATAAAGAGAAAGAGAATGGAGCTGCTCCCAGAGGGAGCAAACCAGAAGAATCGGTTATGGATGTTCAAATCGCTAACCCTTCTCGTCCTTTTCTTCTTTTTCGTTCTTACTACCATTTGCAGAAGATAAGGAACTCTCTTTTTGGTCTGGTCTTCTGCTTCCCTACCTCCCTATTGTCTCTCGTCCTATTTGTGCCTCTGGCCTACAACGGCGCCAGCATTTTCTGTCTAAACGTCTCTTTTCCGACCAAAATCTCGCCGGAATCTACTGGCTTTACACCTGAATATGCAGTAGGACAAACAGCACGAAAATGGTCTTCTTCGTCTTCCTTATCCTCCTCGTTCATGTATGCTGTCAAGGAGGAAACCCCACCTTCTAAACCGAAGGGACATGTGCCCCCTTTGCAGGAACAGGAGTCTTCAGTTCTTCCATGGAACTCTTCTTCGGCTCAGAGATCAAGGTGTCACAGAAAGAATGAGCTGATGTTTAAGATTCTGCAGCCTACCGCCATGTCAAGGCAATTTTCTGTAAGAGTACACGATTTCTTTCATGGGTCACATTCGAATTCTTCCTGCAAGGTTCGGTTTTTCATGACTTGGATTTCTACTTTGGAGTCGTTCGGTTACAGGGAATTGCTTTCAATAGAGAGTCTTTTTAAATCACATCCAAATGCTTGTCTCCTCATAGTCTCCAATTCGTTGGATTCAAGTGGAGGAGGCCAACTGTTGAAGCCGTTCGTAAACCAGGGATTTCGGGTCACAGCAATTTCCCCTGATTTCAACTATATCTTCAAGAATACGTCTGCAGAGATTTGGTTCAATCGCTTAAAGAAGGGGAGTGTAGATCCTGGGGAAGTTTCTCTTGGTCAGAACCTCTCCAATTTACTTAGGCTGACACTCCTGTACAAATTTGGTGGAATTTATATAGACAATGATGTTATAGTCTTGAAGAGCTTTTCCAATTTCAGAAATGCCATAGGAGCACAGACTATCGATCTAAAAACTGGAAATTGGAGTCGCTTGAACAACGCTGTCATGGTCTTTGACAAAAAGCATCCACTCCTCAACAAGTTCATCGAGGAATTTGCACTTACCTTCAATGGGAACAAATGGGGTCACAATGGACCTTACTTGGTTTCAAGGGTTGTTTCAAGAGTGAGCGGAAGACCTGGCTTTAGTTTTACTGTGTTGCCACCGCCAGCATTTTATCCAGTTGATTGGAATAGGGTTCCAAGCCTCTTTCATGGACCCCGGGATGCTGCCCATTTGAAATGGTTGTCTTCAAAGCTCAAGCACATTCACAGGGAAAGTTTTGCTGTACATCTATGGAATAAGCAGAGTAGGAAGATGAAGGTTGAAGAAGGGAGCATTATCAATCACATAATGTTGGACTGTTGCATCTTCTGCAACTATACAGTATCAGTCTCATAAGTATGCTAGAAAAATGAGGCAAATGTGTTGTCATCTCACTCTCTTCTTTTCTCATGTCCCGATCCAGTAATGTGGCTATGGACCAACTCAGTCCATTCCATTGTTTGTGTCAGAAAAAAGGAGTAAGAAAAAGAAAAGCTTTTCTTTCATCCATCATAATCTGAACATAAACAATTGAGTTTATGTAACCTACACTGTACTTTGTCTTCTTGCCAGATCAATTAAGGCAGTCACGGAAGACCATTTCACTTATTCAGTTATACACAATTTCTAGAATATCAGTGTTGATAAGATGGATTATGAGATTCTCTGAAATGGCATTTGTGAGAAAATTTTAACAAGTCATGCTAACATGAAAAAAAAAAAAAAAAGAATTTTATCTCTAAATGTCTGTTTAAACATTTTATATGGATGGTTTCTTAGCCTTTCTCTTTCATTTTGATATAGTAGGGGAATTAATATTTAGTTTCTGGTGTTAATACTTGCAATTATATATCAAGATCCTTATTCTCCCTTGACGTTGTAACTTGTACATATTTTCCATGCTTCTACTCATTAGGTGCTTCATGCTTCTTTCATGGTATGTTACAGTTATTTCACATGAATGATCACATCCTTTCCTTAACATTTTTATGAATTCCAGATCTAGGTTCATACTTGATTTATGCAATTTCTTCTAATTTATGTGTTAACTGTTATTTGTGGTAAGTTTCATTTTATTCTTTTTTTTTCTCTGGAGGAGGAAGGTGAATCCTTTCTTATCTCAGCAATTAATGTTATGTATACTAGAAAACTATCCTCACAGACTGATTAGTTCTCCTTTTGTGGCTGTGACTGCACACATCATATCACTGTTGCAACTTGAAAGACTTCTTTCCCATTTGCCAATTAATTTGAAGTTGGTATAAAAATGTGTGATTTCTTGGTATTGACTACTGCCATACGAGATATCTATCTCGAATTGAGACCATGAACAATTGAATAACTGCATGTTTTGCCGTTTCTCCTGATGCCTGATTTATGGACTGATTGCTCTCTGCTAAGATAATTTTCATCCTAATGTTATTAGGGTGCTAAATGCTTCCTCTTCATATATCTGTTTGACAACTTGTTATATCTGCAAAATAGCCATTTTGTGTGTTAACATATTAAATTAGTTGTTACAACTGGAACATGGGCTCAACTCTGTAACTGGATATGAAAACTTAACATTTATTTTCACTTGTTTTCTTCTGCAAATTATTGTAAAGATAATAAAAGAACAAACATGTTAAAGGTAGTATAGCATCCCAAATTATTATTTACTCAAATTTACATGTTTTTGGACCGTTGACATATCTGAGATGGATGCAAAGTGCTCATTTCCAATTTTCCTTTTTAATGGGTAATAAACTTATCTAAACTTCCCTAGACGACCGAATACATTCCATGGGATGACAACTTGCATGACAGTCTAATGGTTGGGTACTTCCAATATGTTTATTGAGGAAGACAATGATTAGCTGGTTTGCATGGCCTGGAAACTGCTCCTAAATGAATTGGGTTCTCTCAGGCCACATTATCATTTTCAAATCAGGAATATATTCCTTCATCTTCTCCCTTTGTTATATGCATCTGTGAATTTAAGGGCGTAATAGTTTTCATTTATAATCAGAATGCAGGAGATTGAATCATGGGATTGGTTAGACCATAATCTTTTGTCATTTCCTGCATGAGACACCATTTATGTCTAAAACAATTATCTTATAGATATGGAGAAAATATTTCAAACTCTTCTAAGACTAAAATAAATTCATGCTATTGAAAATTTTGAAGGCCTCTCTCTATCTCTATGGCAATTGTAATGAGGTTTGAAATCCTGAGTTTTTCTATAGAGATGCATAATTTGCAATATCTTCACTGAACCAATAAAAGGTAGGGGAGTAGATGGATCTACCATGTCCATGATCTCCTGATCCTTCCTAGCTATTGGAAGTTTGCTTCCTGATAAGAGAATGCATATGTTTTTAACTAGTATTTTAACATCAAATTGTTGAAATCTTCCTCAGTTGATCCTTGTTCCTAACAAAAACTGTTGTGCAAGCAAAATTCAAAGGAGAGCCAACTGCCTTTTATTTTCATGAAATTCAATTACTCTCAAAAACTGTGCTAATAAAACAAGATCAGCATATAGGGAGTTAACCTTTCTATTTGATGATGACAGATTGAAACTATTTGAGTTGAAAATGGGTAATAATAGTTATTGAAAGTGCACTTGTGCATGTATTCTGGATCTCTAACTGTCGGATCAGAATCCAATCTGACAATTTGCAGCTTTACAACATAGTGCTCAGATCCTGAGAGGGTGTTACACCTTGGGGATGCTGAAGAAATCATGGATTACAAGGACAATATCAACAGGGTCACTAGATCTTTTTCTTTTTCCTTGTTCAGGAGGCTGTTAGAGGGACCATACCCCCGTAGTCTGGACTCTGGAGTGATTGTCTGCAAGCACAAGTTACCTATAGCAATCTTCTGGTGACACCATGAATAATACCGTATCCATGGAAAACTATATAAGAAAACCACTGCTGGAGGCCCTACATAGTGATGGAAAACAATATACAGGATAATAGGAGCCAAAAAATAAAATGGTATATTCTAGTTATAGGCATGCTGGTGTTGGACCTATTCCAATGTCAGTAACATGGACTTCAGCTCTCTGATATTCACAGATATTCACATGTGCTATATCTGTTCCATCCAACTTTGATTAGAGGATTATGGAAAGAGAAGAAAGTAAAGCTTATGTAAGGGTGAACAAAGTTGGCTAGTTTTTTTTTTTTTTTTCTTTTTTCTTTTTCAGGTACACCATCCATTTCATGCTTTCAATTGATGATTGCAACTTTTGTCTTGCTCTCTGCATTTAAGCATTCAAGACGGTGATAGTTCTTTTTATATATTTTTCTCCTTCTCATAGGGTGTTCAGATTTTGGACTTTCTTATTACGTAAACTGTGACAGATAAAACTATGTATTCCTGCAAAATGGATCAGAGAAAATGCATTCACAATTTAAACCAACTACACAACAACATTTTTAGGTAATTGCAGTCAATTTCAATCAAATTTAGGGAATTGTTATTGTTTTATCATGTGAATGTGTGGATTTTCTCCTTGCATATAGTATATCAATAAAAACAAGCTACTGATGTTCTTTAGCTTGTTTCTATCCTTTCACTCTGAGCATCTACCCACAAAAAAGTTTGCCCTACCCTGGGAATCTTCTGGGTTTCCAATATTTTTTTCATCATATTGACTGGTTTGTATCCAATGGCTTCTTACATTTAAATGATATCACTTGGATGATGCTCCATGTAACTTTGAGGTAATAGGTTTATTCCCCATCTTTCCTATCAAGAAAAGAAAATAAACCATGACTACTTACTTACCTTTATCTGGACTTTATTAATCTGATACCAGGTGTTTGTCAAGGAAACACCCTGGAATGGTAAATAGGATTCCAATTTGAGAAGGTAGCACAGTGAAGATCAGTTCCTAACACAGCTTTAAAAAGCAATACAAAATTAATAGGTTCACAAACCAGTGGAACCACAGGCTCTCTGTGGTTAGGTCAATGGACCTCATGTGCACCCTGCTCTGTCCCCAGTCCCCAGCTGAGTCCCTCTATAATGTTTAATATGCAATACCTAAAAAAAAAAAAAAAAACAGCTCATGATGTGAGCAGAAAATCAAGAGGTTAGGTGTAAGCTCAAACCCATATAAGACCCTACAGATACTTGGTAAATTTAGAAGTTCCCTTATCCAAGTTTTAAAGCTTTAGTTATTTCATAATCTCAAGCTGTGGGCGGTAGGGACGATGATCGATGAGCCAGGATGGGCTTTGGGCCTATGGCTTTAAATATATTATATTTAATAATATTATTTTGTATCATATGACATAGTGTATGCATAAAATATATGTTATCTATACTTTATACTTAGAACACAGTTGTCCACGTCAGCTTACTCTCTTCCTCACATTGCTTCCCAACCCCCTTAGAATTTTGTAATTTTTTGAATTTAAAAAATAAAAAAATCAAACATGGATGAGGAAACTTATATACTAATCAACAGGTATCATAGTGGTAACCAGATGGTTTTCACCAAAATTCATGGGGGTGGGGGTTTGATTGGTCAAAGCTCTTCCAGTATCATACCTTTTGGGCACCATATTGTATGTATGTAATATATAAGTATATTGTTGGCTGGGGTTGACTAGAAATGAACACCCTACTCGGCAGCAAATCAAAAGATTAGTTTTAAGCTCAAGCCCATATAAGAAAAGAGTCAAAAGACCCTGCAGATACTGAGTAAATTTAGAAGTTCTTTAGCTGTTAATGCTGCAGCAAATAATCTGTTGCTTTATTACCCTTGGGCATTATTCTAGACCCAAGAAAGCATTGCTCTTCCACCCAAATTCGCAAGATTCAAGTAGCAAACTGGAGTGTATTTACCATGTTTCTGATGGATTTAGGTGGTGGGGGAGGGGGGGAGCTTAAAACATGAAAACATGAGGTTCTTGTGCGGAATAAATTTGTTCCTTGTTCAATAATTTCCTGTCGTGCAGATCTGTTTCAACATTCACACTGTAAGAGGCATTAGGTTTTTTATATAAAAAGGAAACCTTGTGAACCATTAGAAGGTGCAATAGTATAAAGAAATCATGTAACTTTATTCCTATGCACCAAGAAAGAATAATGCACTATAATCTCAATTCCTTATAAATATTGGGGCATGCCAACCCCAGAGGAAGAATTGTACACCACAATCTGAATAAGTTCATGTATGCTTATGACTAAATTACAACAATGTAATTTGGATAATATATGATTTCTGGATCTTTTTATGTCATGTATCTCTTATGGTGTAGCAGCAAAACTTCTGATGCAAGTCCTGCACAATGAAAATGTGGTAGGAGTTTCATTGGAGATGCAGAAACTCTGAAACATAGATGGAACTGGCATCTTTGAGCTAGCTGTATGCTTTCATAACTGCTTGGACTATCAAACTAAACTTAGTGCTCATTCTTTTTGCACTAGATGCTCTACATCTCCTAGTTCCACTTCACCTGCTTTGCTTTCTCCCTCGTTCTGAAATAGCAATTCTATCTCCTCTAGAGACTTTCCCTTTGTTTCTGGAACAAATTTATAAGCAAAGACAACAGAGAGAGCTGAAATCATGGAAAAGATGAAGAAGGTTCCTGCCACTGTAATGGCACGGGAAACAGAGAGGAAGGACATGGCAATCAGGCCACTGCACACTCGATTTCCTACTGCCCCTAAGGCTGATGCTTGAGCACGCAACCTCAAAGGGAAAATCTCAGATGTCAACACCCAGCAAATTGGACCAATTCCCACTGAGAAAAAAGCTACATTCCCACAAACTGCCAAAATCGCTAGCACAATTGTAACTTGTCCATGCCCCGTTAAAGATAGAGCAAGGCTTAATGCAAGCAAACAAACAGTCATCCCGATTGTGCTCACATACAGAAGTGGCTTTCTTCCCACTCTGTCAATGAGAAAGATAGCAACCAAGATGAAAGCAGTCTTGGTAAATCCAACAGCAACAGTTGCAGCAAGAAGTGGGCCATTATCCTTTATTCCAGCTTCTCTAAAGATGGTCGGACTGTAATATACAGTTGCATCGATACCTGTGATCTGTTGGAAACATTGGATTCCAAGACCAGTAATCAGCATTCGCCGAAGTGAGGGAGAAGGCTTCAAAAATTCACGCCACACACCCTTTTCTTCATACTTCTCTGCATTAGCAATTCCCGCTGCTGCTTGTATCTCCGCCAGCCTCTGTTCCACTTCACTCTCATTTTCATTTGTTTTCAGCAGCACCGTTCTTGCTTCTTCAACCCGGTTTTGCATCACCAGCCACCTGGGGGACTCAGGGATGATGAACAATGCAAACCCAATAAAGACCGAAGGCAGGATTCCCACAGCAAGCATTATTCTCCAGTTTATGTGTGCTGAAAGTCCTGAAAATGCATAGTTTGAGACGTAGCCAAGAAGGATACCTAGATTTATAAAAATTTCAGGAAAGGATGTGAGAGATCCTCTGGCAATGGCTGGTGATATCTCTGCAATGTATACAGGCGCAATCATGACTCCAAAGCCTATTCCCACCCCAGCTAACAGTCTTCCGATCATCAGAACCTTGAAAGAAGGAGCAAAAGTCATTATAGCAGCACCTGTTTGAAAGACAACAGCTGCCAGGGCCATTGTCCATTTTCTACCAATGGCATCTGAGGTTCTTCCACCGCCCAAACTTCCTAAAAGTGAAACGATGCTCAAAATCCCAACAAGAACTTCTTCTTGTACCTCTGTTATATTCAGATCCTCCTGAATAAATATGATTGCTCCACTCATGACACCAACATCTACAAATGGAGAAAGGCCCAAACTTTAAGCTGCAAATTCACTTTAAAAGTACTAATTATAGAAATGGGAGCAGAAATGGGATATGAGTCTTGGTTGCGAATAGTATCATCAAATAACAAAAAGCTGTTGAATAAAAAATTTCTCAAAATGAGCATTCTCCAATAACGAATGGTTTTGGAGATCCAAAGAGATCTTTCATCTCATATTCTAACTACAGTTCCGGACAATGAGAACTATTAAAGGTATATAAAAGAAAATTTATTGCAAAAGGGTAAGATGAGTTCTGTTGACAGAAATTAGATTCAACTCTTTCTGAAGTTTTACTCAAAGCAGATAGAAGTTCTAAAATTTGTTTGTCTCTGTATGCCCAAAAATGGAAATTTGAAGAGGACATAATGCAACAGTTTATTTATGGCATGGCGTGAAGTCATAGACATTGGATGAAAATCGACAAGCTCTCCAGAACATCGAGTCGAATTCATGTGCAGAGCACTGCAATAACCAAGATCTTGCATATATGCATGCCATTTTAGTGTGATAGAGTGAGCAGTCAGATGCCCGACTATCAATCCAAATAAAGCTTTTTTCTTTCCGGATGAAACATAAACTTCCTATGTGAAGTTTTACAAAAGAATTGCCGGTCAAAGAGAGAATATCGGAAAAAAATAAGGAGAAATAGAAGGAAATATACTTACCGTAGCCGAGGAGAACAGAGTTGAGAGAGGCGAAGATGGCGCAAGCTATAACGTATTTCTTGGTATTGTCGCTCCGGCTCTGTTGACAATGATGATAAGAGGGGTCATCCACATCTGGAAGATCTGAATCCATCCTCCTGTATTTGTTCTTGCTTCCCAAGGGAAGGTTAGATAACCCATCGGGGTTTCCATTTTCCTGAAGACCCATGTCTCTTCCTCTCTCTCTCTCTCTCTCTCTCTCTCTCTGCTTTGAGGAAGAGAAGAAACTAAAGTTGTGTTCTTTCCTCTGTTTCTCATCTCTTAGAGTCTCAGAGCAGAAGCCATTGTTCCAGATCTGAAAAACGAGTAAGAGAAAGACTTCGTCCATGTTGTTGGCTTTTATGGGTCCCTGTACTGAGAAGACCTTTTACTTTTGATTGGAAGATCTGGCTGCAAGTGGGCCTTCTTTCTTCGCAGTAAGCAACATTTCCATTAAAAAATACACGAGGTGGAGAGCATGGAACGCGACTTTGACCTACCCATTCTTTTTTATTAAGAAAAGTTCTGTTTCCAAGCATCCGGAGACGAGTAAAAATGAAGATCCTTTCTGAAAACGAAGATGAATATTTACTGTATTTGAGAAACCGAGAGTGTTTACCCAAAAGAAGAGAAACTGAGAGTCGGCAAATGGGTTACTATAGGAAGAGAAGACTGTTATTTCATGTTTTTCCCTCTTTCGTCAATTTATTTTGGTGGTAGTTGGAATTGTTGATTCCGTTTTTGCTGGTAAACTTCCTATTGGTTGGTTTTAACTTTTAAGATCACGCCGACGCGGGGCGCCAGAAGTCGGGATCTGAGCCTACATGTGACCCATGTGGATGAAATACTAACGTGTTCATTCGTTATTTTACACGCTATTGTTTGCAGCAGATCCGGAAATGGGTAATATCTTAATCCCGCCCGGTAGCCGATTGGGGAGGTCTTTCAGGCAGCAGCTCTAGCTAGGCTTTACAAGGTGGGCCCCCGAACAACATATTAAGCCGTGAAAATTCTTAATTCTGAAATGCCCAAAAATGATTTTTATTGATTTTTGTTTTTTCAAGAGCCTCATTGAAAACAGCTCAATCCAGGCTTAAGCCCTCTCAAGAGGCCAAGAGTTTTTAAGCAATGTTCAAAATTTGTATCGTATCGTTGGCTTTCCGAAACTCCGAAAGGGTGTCTCGAAATTTGAGCCTTTTTTAGGGATGAGACTGGATCTGCTCCTAACACCTGGGGCCTCACAGGTGCCTCACACGCACATCTTATCACGGGAGATATTCCCAATGTACAGTGGGTGTTCTTGTGAGACGCCCATTTGTGAGAAGCAGATCCCGTCACTTCAGGGGTAGGTAAAGAATTTACATCAACGCCCCACAATGCCCTATAGTAAGTACATCCCAACCTTGTATGGAAGACATCTCCCGTGGATGTCTCATACGTGTGGGGCGCAGATGTGGACTCGTAGCTAAACCTAAAACCAACCCCTGAATCATTTTTGAAAAAAAAAAGTTTGAAACACTCGATACACCCGTTTGTGCCTATCGATAATTTAAAGTTTAAACCATAATTTTAAGATGAGATTTATAGCATTTGCAGACTGGCTCCCACGTCAAATTTGAAAGAATCGAAACAACAAAACTTATGAAATGTTAACATACCTGGGGTCTTCGGTTTACCCTCACAGGTGCTCAACTAACACAGCTCGCCCCAAACACAGGCCATCTCCCAAAGGGTCTTAATTTCAGATGTGTCTGATGCGTTATAAAGCCGCCCATAGGATGATCATGGACTGGGCCTGACCCAGGGCAAGCCTGAAGTGTGAGCCTAGATCAGACTGGGCTTCAAGCATATATTATATCAAAGATATATAATAGTCCATCTAATATGACTTACAATATGTAAAATATATGTTGTGATAAATTCTAAGCCTTGCTGAAGCAGTTGTGGTGTTGTGTTTTTACGCTTGGCTCAACCTCTCAGGTTGAAAAGGATTTACGTTGAATCTGATTGCATGGTATTTGTTAATATGATAAAAGAAAGGAGCAAATAACTTTCCTAAGGAGATATGGATGATCTTTGATGATATCAGAGCTGAAGTGAATGGGTTTGTTGAGGTTAGATGAAAATATGTTAAGAGGTTTGTCAATGTCAGTGTATTTTAATATTACTTTTTCATAGTTTATAAAAAAAAACATCATCTGAGCCTTATTCCAACCCCAGCCATATAGGGTCAGTTACAGTCTTGTCTGTCATTTCTGTCTGTTTATATTAATTAATCCTTTATTTTGCTCCATAGGGCCAATGGGGGCAATCTATCCTCAAACCCACAACACCCCAACCCTGGTGCACGTAGGATTCAATCCCAATTTTCTTCTACAACCAGTTGAAAGACTTTACCAACTAACCAGTTGGCACTTTATTTATCCTACTTATGATACCGGTTGACTGGACATAAGTTTTTTCAGTTATAAATCCTTACAAAATTATATAAATTATGTTATACATAATTATCTTTTGACTTGTTCCTTTTTATTAGACTTTTGAGAGAACATCTTAACTTAGAAATGACCACTCTTATGTAACTTTAATCTCAAATTTCAAACACTTCCCATCTAGAGTTAATTTACTTTTTCAAAGGACAATGAAGGCTCCTTTTGAAGAGGGATAACAAAATCATGTTAACCAGATTAAAAGGATGGCTATTCATTATATGGTCTAGACCGCCACTGCACTGAACCAAATCGGAATTGGCAGTTTGGTCTGAGAATTCCTCAAATTATAACTTTCTGGTTTGGTGTGGTTTTTTAAATTTTAAAACCAGCCCAAACTGTAAATCAAATTATCAATAATCTATTCATTGATGTATATAATATATATGTATGTATGCATATATTCATTTAACATTTCGATTTCATACATTATTGTTGTTTGTTTCAATTTTTAACTTGTAGTTTGATGCTTAAAGAATTGTCTATATTTGAGGAAGTGTGAATGTAATTTATATAATAGTAATAGGTGGCATTTTTTAACATTCCAATTTAATATTTGAATTATATTTGTTATTTATGTTGGCATGCATGTTATTTGGGCTTTCTAATTGGGTTAAGCCCAATAGAATGACCCAAACCATAATTTATTGGTTTGGTCTGAAATCTTCTCCAAACCAAACAAACCAGACTGTGAACTCCCTTTATTAAAATGAGCACAAATTTTCCGACCATTAGATGGATGGTTAATGAGCCTTATCCCCTAGATTAATTGGGCAAGGATCAACATAAAATTGACTAATGCCCAAATCAGATTGTCACCCGTTAACTTCTGATTATGTTGATTTTTGGAAAATTTTCCTGGTTGAATTGTTAAAGGGAGAATGACTGATCAGCCCAGCTCAGCATTCTTTAGCCCCATCATACAGGGGGAATGAATCCTGACCATGGATTGATACCAAATCCACAGACAGGATGTGGTGATTTATAGGAGGGCCTACTAGTAGACTATGGGGGGCTGTAATTCAGAATTCTGCATTAAGCTGCAGTGTATTCTAATTGTTAAAAGGGCATGCCATTAAAAAACATTGGGAACTGACCTTTCCCTTAGATCAAACTTCAAAGCTTTATGTGTGAAAATGAGGGGAATCATCCACAAGATAGAAGAGAAGCTGCATATGGAGGGAATAAAAGAGGGGAGAAATAGCACAAGCCAACTTAATTACCATGAGGATTGCATGTTTAAAGAATACAAATACCTTGGGAAACCAAGGAGGGAGAGTTTGTTTACAAAATGAAGGAGAAAGATTCATGTAGAAGAGAAACACAACGGAGATAGTTGAAATTGGCCTTGGTCATTAATACAAGAGTTAAGTTAGGATTCATTCCGTTAAATCTAGATCTCAACCTACTTTAAGATTGGATTTGCTCGTCATAGAGCGTGCTTCACACCAAATCCACACAATACATCGTAGCCATGCATTGAGAACATCTTCCGTACTTGATGTTTTCATTCATGGGAAAATGTTTCCAATGCACAGCTACAATGCATTGTGAGTAGACCTGTTTATGTGCCGGATTCGGACTTGATTTTTACCAAAATTTGAATGGGGCTCTGAAGCCCGAACCCCACATAATGTCCCATGAACAGGTCTAACTGTGAGATTGGTGTGAGATGCATTATGATAGTTCACATTTAACAAAGTGTGAACTATCACATCTAATTTAACAAAGTGTACTTTTACTGTTTTACATTTAACAAAATGTACCTAACATTGTATTAAACCAATCACATCTTATTTTGCACACCATAGATTTTGTTTTGATATAAACAACAGTTGTTGCATTGTTGAATTTCTCTCAATAGTTTCTTCGATCTCCTTCTCAATATTTACTGGTCTTTCTCCCTCTCTATCCTTCTCTTGAAAATTTCCTACTCTATCGTGAGAATCTTGATGGCCTAACCAATGTTTTAAAACCTAGCCTAGATGTTGAATTGTTTCTTCCGGCAGGTTAAAGGGTTAGTGGTTCAACGATACAGATCAACAGGTCACATTCATAGTCATAATTATAAAATTTCCAAAAATTAGAAATAGTGCAAAAAGAAAACCCGATAACCCATCAACACAAGGGGCATTAGCATGGGTCCCAATTTAGCTGTTCAGGAGGCTGTGAAACTAATAATTACAACCCACAATAGTGATAAAACGCATGGACCCACAGTAAGAAATTAAATGATTGTTGAGTCCCGGAATTTTATTATTGGCATAAGCATTATCATTGATTCCACATCCTCTTGAACAGCCATTATTGCTGCATTCAGCTAATTTATGACAGACCAAATTATCTACTTCTATATATTATTGCATTGCCCTACACATTTTGACTAAATGGCCTCTTTACCATTAATTTATAGACGTAAAGGTTTCTTTGATGCCTTTTGTTCTTTTCTTTTCTTTTTTTCATTTCCTTGTGAATGCATTGATATTATGTTAGCGACAAAACAAATTTGAAGCCTCTCTTATATGACATCTCTTTGACACCATTGGTATTAAAACACTTTATACACTAATCTTTTACAAAGATATATATTTCTTTTCCTTTTTTTAGTTCTGTCTTAGTGTGGGTGTTGGAACTTGGAACCGATATAAGGATGGATGCAAACATATTAAATCAGATTTGAATCAGGGTATATCATATCCAAATCTGATTCAATAGCATATATTCAATTGGATCTCATAAAATGGTCATTCAAATCCTAATTGTTAAGAATGTTAGATATTCAAATCTGATTTAAATTATGAAAAGTTTAATAAATTATTAAAAAAATATAAAACTTTATATACAGAAAAATAAAAAGTATAAGTTTTTTAACTATTTTCATCATATATATATATATATATATATATACATATCTTTTTATAAGTGAATATATTTATAAATATATATAGGCTGAATGAGATAAGGGGTGATCTGAATCCGATCTAATTTTTCAATCGGATCTGATTATCCAATCCGATCCATTTTCACCCCTAGAACTGATGCGTTTCACAAATGTTACATTACACCAACTTACCACATAAGAAAGAACAAGAAAAAAAATGGAAAAATTACTTAATCAGATGTGGCAAGCAACAAGCTGTGT